ACTACAAGGTCAAAGACAATTAATTAAGCGAAAGGAAAGATAAATAAGTAGAGGCGAAGTCAGAATAGAATACTCGTGAGATTGGCGTGAGAGTCAGTTTGATAGGAGGGTCTGGCATTGCGGAGGCAAGGTACATTGGCGGCATAATTAGCAGTGTTAGTAGTTCATGCCAAGAAAGTCGAAAGAGCCTTTGAGAAGGTTGGATTCTTTCCTCGACAACTTTGGTAATCGGCTTCCCACTAATGCTCTCATGCTCTTCGGGTAATCTCTTTCTGTCAACAGTCCCATAAACCTGCATATATATATATACATATATATATAAAATCCAAGATGAAATACTAGCTAGGGTTGAATTTCTTAAAAACCTCTTCTTTTGCTTTTGTGATCACCCAGTTGCTAATCAGTACTTAATTGATTACCATCCAAGCATGAAATCAACAGCTCTTGCAGCAGCATTTTGACCAGATTTCTTGTTGGACAAGGGCAAGAACCAGTGGGATACCAAGGTTATGCCTATCAATAAGTAGTGGGATTCCTGCACATAGCCAAACACGCAAGCGCAGATTAAACATGTACACATATCAATAAGTAGTGGGACTCTAGTTGATTATGTTGAATGCGTATATTGAAGGGAGAGAACTATATATGTCGTGCATGAAACTTAGAATTGTAGATTTGGACGGCAGAAGCGTGAGAAAGAAGGAGGTGGTGAGCAACAAGATAGGGCTCGGTGGAGGCATCGCCGCCAGTGCAATTGATGAGATAGAGCCAGGCGGAACATCGACCCGGTGCCAACTGCCCCATCGCATACCCACCACTGCTATGAGTCCGTGACTCGTTCAGCGTTATGCAGTGCTTCACTCTGTCCCCAAACTCCCTGAAACATAATTCCGTGTACTCCCCAAAGTCCTTCCTGCAGCTCCGTTAATCATTCCTTAAATCCTTTCCTATTAATTGAGTTTCCCATTTCTCGATCACTCACGCTATGTCAGAGCTCAAGAAGCCCCCATACTCGTCCTCCAAGGCTTGCGGAAGATCCCAATGGAGGAGCGTTGCAAATGGTTTTAAACCTGTGCGTCCGTCATTTTTTGCCCATCGTTAATCTCCCACCCCCGCACATAAATAATCTAAAAAAAAATTACTACCTCTAGTACTTAATATAAAAATTAGTTAAACTTTTAATTTAATCCTAAATATAAGACTCTAGTGCCATTTGTCTCTTATATTCATTTATTTTTTTAAGGTAGTTTTTGCAATACTTGTATGTTAATGGTTTCATCAAATACTAAAGCTAATATATTTGATTAGCAAGGATATTTTAGAAAAAACAACACCAATCTATTACAAATAACTTATTTAACAAAGTTTATTAGTCTGTTAAAATTAGTCAGCCAGTACTTATATTAAGTATTTGAAGTAGTAAAATATAAGGATCGGATAATCAATACTAATAAAAAGTTGGCTCCTGACCCTTGGCCAGTAGCTCGCTGATGAGGTCGTTGTAATATTTGATTCCCTCTTGCCATATGCCCCCACTCAGCTTCTCCTCTGCGCGCACACAGTAGTAGTAGTAATTATAATAATAATAATCCATCGAGCTCGTCTAACTAAAAACTCTACAAAGTATATATTGAAGTCATAATAACACAACTTGAAATTTTGACTTACTCGGCAGGATTCCTGACCAAGAAATGGAGAACCTGTAAGCATCTAAATTCATATGCTTCATGACTCCAACATCCTCCTGTGTCAGGTCAAAAGAAATGGGCAACGGTTGTATAAAAATATGTACACTACTAGCTCCAGTTTCTAATAATATAAGAAGCAGTTGATTAATTTTGATGGGTCAATAAAGTTTGTTAAGTTAATTATTTGTAATAAATAAGTACTCCTCCGGTCCTAATTATAAGACCCAATTGACTTATTTGAGGAGATTAAGGAGGTAAGTTAAGTTGGTTATTTATAATAAATAAGTGTTGTTATTCCTAAAATATCCTTGCTAATTAAGTATATTGGCTCAAACTATCATTATTAGAAGGATTATCTTGAAAAAAATACATAAATATAAGAGAGAAAATAGATTGGGTCTTATAATTAGGACCAAATAAAAAGTCAAATTGGGTCTTATAATAAGGACCGGAGGAGTATTATCTTTCTTAAAATATTTTTGCTAATTATATGTATTAGCTTGAAACCATCACATTATTTTATTTGTAAATTGGAGATCGATTCAAAAAACAAGGGGCTTAACACGTTGATCATCCCCGTTGTGAAAGTAGTGCTGAGACGTTTACATGATAAATGACCCCTGTTAAATAATAAAGGAAGTGATTAAATTATATATTTTTGGAGGATTGAGGTCATTAAAATAATTAGTTTGATTCCTAGATTGACCTATGAGACACCCTCATACTTTATACCGATGATATTCGTCATTAGCTACATCTCCGTTGCTGCGATCCGATATTTTTTCTGCAAACCAGGTAATTAAAAGACACGCAATTAATTAATTCATTTGTGCTGTGTTTGCCAAAAAAAAAAAAAAAGTAAAAAACATGCTATAAAAAATATTGCGCATTCAGCTGCAGTTTTGACCAAAATGTATATAATTTGTCTTTCTCGCAATTTTCAAACACGCGGCAGGGGCTTTTGTGCGGAGATCCTTAGGTTTTTGACAAGAAATGTAGGTGAAAAATTAAAGTATGAAAAATAAAGATAGGCTGTATAAAAATAACAAATAAAAAAGAGCACATATTAATTGGAAACGAAATAGTTCTGGTTATAAATGTAGGCAATTTTAGACGCACAACTGGACACGAGAAACGAGCGCTTGATGAGGATGCATGAGTGAAAATAGGTCAGACCCTTTTTCAAACAGGCTTACAGCCTGGTCTGCTTACTAAAGAGGGGAGGCTTAAACATCTACAAAGGTCTAATAATACAGATCGTAGGCCAAGGCTTAGCTTGGGCTGTCCTGACTCTTTCCATGCTTACAAATATTTCTCTCAAAAAAGCTAAGGGAGGGTTTAACCAAAAAAAAAAAAAAAAGAAGCTAAGGGAGGGTAGAGAGAAAGAGAGACCCGGGTATTTGTGCGTGAAGGTATCCTATGTGCTGGGTCCTCCGCCACCTTCCCTTGCTGCCCCTTCGTACTGCCATCTATATAATGAAGATCACTGAGTGGAGTGCTAGTTGCTAATGATATGTAGAGAAGAAGTGAGAATTGGTTAATTGAGTAGTAAAGATGTAGGATGGATAACCTGGTAGGAGGCGGAGGCGGTGCCGAAAATGAAGGCAGGCGGAAAGTGCGTCGATTGAGAGAGGAAATATCATGATGATGATCATGTGTATTTAATTTGTTGCTTGGCGTGAGCTTCCTGCACTTAATTATCAGAGCCCACCACCCCTACTACTATCGTCTTCTTCGTCATCCTCCTTTCCATATATGTACTCTCCTCCTCCCCCTCCTCCTCGTGTGTGTATGTGTGTGTATAGCAGACATCTCTCTGGAGGATGACGTGTGTCCATATTATATTTCCACGTTCTAATAACAACATATGCGGTTGATATCAGTGGCGACCACGCAATATATACATAAACTCCGGCAACAAATTAAACGCCGCTTCCTATTTTTCTTATGTAGCTGTCTGATCCTGAAATATTGTGAGGTAACTCTTTTTGAAGATATTCTTTGTATTCACATGAACTCTAATTTGCAAATAATTCACAAAAACTTTGGTCTCAGTTTTTTTTTTTTTGTGGACATTAAAATAAACTATTAAAAAGATTACAATATAAAACCATAGTACCTAATTATTTTGTATAATAAATTAATTTTCACGCAGAACAGTACATGGAACCATCTGAAGCTTTTAAACCAGAACGTGCGGGACACAAAAAAGGTGGATGGAGACAAAACAAATATCTGGGAATGAAAACTGTGGATGAAATATATGTCTCCTACTCTATTTGATTGAGCGTCCATACCCAAGCTTGCCTCGCGTTGCGTCTTTCTTTCTAATATCGGACAAACCAAACTATACAAACCAGTGCCACCGGCCATAAACGATCAATAATGCTTTTTTTTTTTTGGGATAAAAAGTCAATTTATTTAATTAATAAGACGAATACATATAAAACCATCTCTTTATGTGTGGCTGCTCATGTTTGACTTCAGCCTTTTTCCACGTTAAGTTCTGTTTGTTCGTTCGTTTTTTTTTTTATAATAATTTTGCCATATCTGGTTGGCTTTCCCCCGCAGCATCACCCTGTCAAGGTTCTGGACATACTCTGTGCGTGTGTCAATAGTATGCCTAATCCATCTTCTCAGAGCCAGGTATCAATAGCTTCATTAAAAGTTATTAACGCTCCGGGTACTAGTGCGAGTTGGTGGCTTATGATGGCTTCCTCGGATGTTTTCATTTCCTGTTCATCGCGGCCATGAGAGAACGGACGTCGTCTTTTCAGCTGAGCCCAGAATTTGAGAGCCTCGCCAAAATATTTTGGTTTTAAATCACGATATGAAATATTTCAAAATGAATTCCTCGTCAATGATGTTTCTCTATTAGAATTTTTTTTTTTGGGCCAACGTTTCTCTATTAGAATTAGAACTAATTAATACTTGCTTTGATTTTAAATATAAGAACCGAATAATTGATTTATAAATATTTAAAAAATTAGTTAAATTAATTATTTTAAAAAATTAACATTCTCTAATGTGCATGATATAATAATCCGTACGCACGTAATAGTCGGCAAAAAGAAACAAAAAGGTAAATCCATATCTTCTTCGGCCGAAAACCCATATGATTTTTTTGTTTGGTGACAATAGAGCGTTAGTTTTTGTAGAGTATTAATTAGAGTTGGGCCCACATTCTGTCCAAAAACCTTGGGCCGAATAAGCCTCATTTCATAGTTTTATCACCTGCTACCCCCAAGTGAACTGGATCCTACCCAGAGTCCAAGTAGGATCACACAATAACGAGAAGTCTCTTTCAGGCGGCATCCTAGTCTGCAATTAGTGCGGGATCTGATTTGACCAGTGTTAGTGGAGTTGGAGAATCCCGGAGATATGGGGTCCGACTCCGACGAAGAGCAGCACCGTGTACGGCTGAGTCAGAGGCCGGAGTGGTCTGATGTTACTCCAGTTCCGCAAGATGATGGCCCAAATCCCGTGGTGCCAATTGCCTACACGCAAGAGTTTACAGAAGTCATGGACTACTTCCGAGCCGTCTACCTCGCCGACGAGCGCTCCCCTCGGGCCCTTGGCCTGACCGCTGAGGCCATTGAGTTCAATCCTGGCAATTACACTGTATGTATTATGTCTGCATGACTCAGCTTGTTTACAACCAGGTCTATTGAGTTTACACCCAACGAATAACTTCTTTCGAATCTTTAGGTGTGGCATTTTCGGCGTATGTTACTTGAATCACTGAGCAGTGACCTTCATAGTGAATTAGGCTTTTTGGAACGTATATCCGAGGGCAATTCCAAAAATTATCAGATATGGTGAGTTAGAAAAATCATTGATGTCCTCCCCCAACCCCATAAAACAAATCTGTCTATCCCTGTTCATAAATAATAGATGGATCGAATTGATTAAATTGTGTATCTACCACGATAGGAACCCATCTTGTTTTCTGTCACTCCCAATTGCATTAGATAGTGCTGTCATCATGTTGAACAACCTAAATGGCCCTGTTTGTTCATCTCTCTTTCATTTCAAAATTTAAAAAGTAAACTTGGATGGCTTGTTTATGCATCACTTTATCGTACTTAGCCGGGCTTTCTACTAAACTAGTCATAGTCTCTGCTCTCCAAAATATGTATTTTCGAAGATGCGTTCTCTAATATGAAGAAAATGTGCTTAAGATGGCTGAAGTCCTCAATTATGGTTTTTGTTTTTCAATACTTTCAAGTGTCAAATGTGTGCCTGAGAAGCCTTGAGCATTTAGGAATTTATTTCAATATTGATGTATTGTAGAAAGAAAATATCTGTTAGAAAAGCCCCTACTGCACGATATTGATGTTGCTAAAAGCTTAAAACAATGACACTCTTCTTAATCCTCAGAAATGTGAAATGTGCGTGGTCTCGTAATTGATTTCGCCTGGGGAAGTGAAATATACTCATTCAATATGAAACTACATAAATGTGGTTATATTGAGTTGTGGATCCATTACCACCCAAATTATCATGATAAATTTCTTATGGTACTTCTGAAGTGAGCTTTAGTAATAAAACCACAATGAGATTTTGTTGGGTGCTGTTCAATTTATCTACAGATACTGCCTGCTGGCTAGTGACATCACCTGCCTTCTGTGTTACCTCCTTTATGGTTAAAGCAAATGCTTTTTTTACACTGAAATGGCTTTTTATGTGTAGCAGAACATTCTGTAATTGAGTGATTGAGTGTTCTGTACATTTTACTATTCTATAGTTTATATGTAAGTTATTTCTTACTTGAATTGCATGGTGCATCGAAAATCTTTAACTTTTTTCACATGCACAATCTCCCATCATTGCTTGGATCTTGATGAAAGATGTTTGTAGGCATCATAGACGATGGGTTGCTGAAAAGTTAGGACCTGAATCTGCAAACACAGAACTTGAGTTCACCAAGAAGATATTGTCTATTGATGCTAAACATTACCATGCATGGTCCCATCGTCAGGTAATGCTTGCTTTTCCCATCAGGCTTGACAAATCTGAATATGCCATAAACAACGTGTGTGCATGAATGTGTTCTGTTTTTACTGATCGAAAAATATTTTTTTGTAGTTTGAACACGTTTTAGATGTTGAAACCTTAAATTTTGGTTCTTCTTTTTTCTTGTCTGCCCCCCTTTTCCTCGAGGCAGTGGGTTCTTCAGGCACTGGGAGGGTGGGAATATGAGCTTAACTATTGTAGCGAGCTTCTTGAAGAAGACATCTTTAACAATTCTGCTTGGAATCAGGTATGTGACCTTTTGATGCATGTTCTGTTTGATCTTGTCACAATATGAAAAAGACAGATCTTCAGGCGTGTTTTGTCCTACTTTCCTGAATGCTACAGTTTGCAATTGAAAATGAACTGTCTCCTATTATTCTCTAAGTTCCCTCAATTGGCCACCATAGGTCAATGTTCTCTTTTAGGCAGGCATGAAGGTAATGATAACTTAATTGATTTGCAGTTCGGTGTCTTAATTTTGTTGGGTATTGGAATTGATAATATTGACAAAATATGGACAGAATTTTAACGGTAGCAACTAAAATAACCTGTAAACCCTGTGGATTAGGTTATAAGTTCTTAAAATTTTAGTGACGAAATTAAATTATACATTTTCCATATATCGTTTTCTTCAATTTTCTTTCCACTCCATGAAAATTCTGAAAGTTAACATTCAATCTTTATGACAGAGATATTTTGTCATAACAAGATCACCCGTGTTAGGGGGACTGGAAGCTATGAGAGAATCTGAAGTGCATTACACTGTTGAAGCCATTTTGGCTCACCCGGAGAATGAAAGCTCGTGGAGATATCTTCGGGGACTTTACAGAGGTGAAGCCACGTTATGGGTGAATGACCCCCAAGTTTCTGTAGTTTGCTTGAAGATTTTGAGGTCAAAGAGAAACTATGTGTTTGCTCTGAGCACCCTTTTGGATCTTCTCTGCCATGGTCTGCAAGCTAACCAAGACTTTGGGGATGCTGTGGATGCTTTAAAGACTTCGGATTTAGATAAGCACGATACAGATCTAGCAAGAACTGTTTGCTCAATCCTGGAACGGGTTGATCCGCTTAGAGCCAACTATTGGAATTGGCGTAAATGCATGCTTCCTCATGCAACTAACTCGGCATCAAAAAAATGAGGTGATAAGCCAATGTGATCCATAGTTTGTATTTCATCTACGTTGAAAATATGATCTGATATATATGGTCATAGTATGCGATGTTGGGTACACAGCCCCTCTCATTAAACCGAATACCTTGATTGAAGATGATTTTTCTGAGTGAACGATTATTGTATAGTTGTGGAACATGTATAATGAGTTATCAAGATGACTTCTCCACTTCCTTCCCTCCGACGTTCCATGCCATTAAAAAAAGATTGCTCGATAATGTTAATGATTTCATTGTTACAGTGACCATAGATGCATCATGTGAATGGCGATTCAGTCATTCAAAAATAGAAAGAGAAGGAAACGAGGAAGGGGCAAGCGTTCAGCACTTGTCTTCTGTGTTGCATGCTACTCTAGTGTCCATTGGTTTTAATATTTTTACCCATTTTTTAATAATAGTTTACATTCGTAAATTTGTCCCAAAAAAAAAAAACACTAAGATTACAATTTTGCTCCTAAATGGTTGTTAAGTCACTTCATCCCCCAATTTCCAATAGGACTCCTTAATAAGATCAGGAATAAAAATGCCCAACCATCAAAAATATTGCATCACGTCTCATTTTATTTTTATAGACCCAAAAAACTTTTGAAAAATCCCTCGTAATAAGTACCAAAGGGAGTAAAAAATGATCTCACTCCCTCTAACCTTAGCAAAAATACCCAAAATATATATTGTTACTGTTTTGTTATTTCTGTTCATTCTTCCATTTCCCTAATATTTTATTTCTATCTCTAATTACTACATAATATCCAGATAAGTCTTGAAATCGAGCAATTAGGAATCCTCATGTTGATCGTAATATTGCCCATGCTGTCCTCTTAGTGCGACTTCTTCCAAATCAACCAAAAGCCACGTAGCCTTTTGACGTTGATGATGTACATTGGTTCTGTTTATGACTGCATACCCAACAAAAACTAAGAGCTCAAAAATCCAGACGCATGGCTAAGTGTGTAACTAATGATACTGAGCCATTAGAGCCTTTTGATTTCCTCCACCCAAGCTTTTCAACCGCAAAACCCCTAGGGCTATCAAGCAGTAAAATTTTGCCCAGCAAATATGGTTTCTGTTAGGCTGGAACTTATATTTTGTTATAAAACTGTTGGTGGAAAATATGACATCACCACTCATTTTCATCTATAATATATTCCCCCTCCCCAAGAGAAAATCATTTTATAGTCCCGCGGGGGGTTACCACTGGTTCCTTTTGGTAGCCAGTGAAGTCAACAAAATCAGTATCCAGGTGCGATTCCGTATAAGGATCCATCTATCACAGCCACCCACTAAGTATTAATATTTATATTTAATTTAATGAGAATGATTCATTTCAAACTTAAAGCTTCTTGTTCAGTCCCAAGTTTTTGGACTTGGAAAGAGGGGTTGAGGTTTCCTTGAACGCTGACGGGCACAAGTCACTTACACTACATTCCCCACAGCGAGGTCGGCGAGGTGTACAAATCGTCTGTCCAAATCCTACCTGATGATGTCCAAGCAAAAAGAGCATTAGTATATGATGAATATGCACATTATATGATATTGTATGATTGATAATTCTATAAGATGCCAAGAAAGATTTAAATAAAGCAGCAATAACAGAAGACAACCAACAAAACCATATAAGTTCACAAACTCCTAGGAAGACACATGCGATCCGCTGGCTGCAGACACGAGGCAGTGTCCCTTGGCCACAAATCTAATGTTTGGTGAACCTCCTATTACTTTGTTGCTCATGATTTCAATTAATTTGTCAAATCACCACTAAAAATTCCAATCGAATCATAAGATTCATCAGTGAAGTTAAAATACCTTGAAACGTATTATACACTATATATAGCCCCTTCGATTTTAGTGGTCGTTAAGATGTGCGCCTCATGATCATCAGGCAAAACTGCATTGTTTTGCCTGATGAGGTTATAATTTCCCTCCAAATCGCTCTCTCTCTTGCGCAAAGCACCTTCTCTCATCTTCTCTCTCTACTCTTTCTGCGAATCATCTCTCTCGTGACGCTCTGTTAGCAGAGTTGGGTGCTGATCAAATGAATAGAATGAGCAAACTTCTAAATTCAGAAGGATTGAGTGTTTCCAAGAGAAAAGAAGCAACTAAGAGTGTGGAGATTATTCTAAACAATTGAAGAGAACTCCAGTAAAGGCTAGTGAGAGTTTTTCAAAGCACCTTTCCCAATTAGCATGTCCTACCACAAGCAGCTCTTCCCCTCTAGGCACTGCCACTGATATCCTTTAAAAACAGCACAAATGAAAAAAATGGGTAGAACCAGGTTCAGTTTTTGATGTAGTTGTTTTGATTGCTTTGTGTATACACGTCGACTTTGTTGGACTCCAACATAGCTAACCAACTCATGTTTGCTTGACTAGCATGTTTTATTTGGTTTCTCCAGAAAATGCTGAAATACCGCACGAAAAGAAAGGGAAAAAGAAACGCCCACAGGTTTACAACAATCTCCAGAAGCTGTCAACTTTAAAAGTGGTTGCTAGAGATGAGTGTTTCCCGGCAACCCTGTCCTCCAAAATTCCAGCAAGGCCAGCAATGACAGAGGTGAAACAGTGTGCTTTAGAAGTTGAAATCGCTAGCTGAATTAGTAGGAGGGGGGAGGGGAAGGAGGGGGGGAGGGAGAGATTGCTGGACTTTAGGAGGGAACCACCTTTACAAAATAATAAAAGAGGAAGGCTGAACTCTGGAAATAAGAGGAGCATCATGGATTATAGCTCAAGCAAACATTAGTTGGACAATCAACATATTTTTGCCAATCAGAATGTGGCGCTCATCTCCCTAATGAGCATTAAAATAAAAGGAACCTACATGTCTTATATTGCAAGCAATTTCCAAACCAATACTTTTTGACTTTCAATTTAGGACGCATGGCAAGTGATAATGATTAAAAACACTCCAAAGTTAAACTCAATATGGTGAAGGTTGAGAGATAAAGACTGGAATGGAGCTTGAAACTTGAGAAGAAGGCATTAGCAGGTTTGCTTGCTATGGAAGTTCGTATGATACAAAGGGAAGCAGCACAGCAGTTCTTACGTTGGGAGGAGAGTGGGAGACTGAAATTATTTTAACACGCAAATCTTCTTTATGTACTATAATACTAACATAGATGGTCAATCACGCCATCCAGCAGGTTCAACATTCGTTTTCTTTTTCCAGAAAACAGATTCAGCCTAGTTTAGCAGCTTGGTGGCATGGGCCATAATGAACCTGACAATGCGACCTGCTGCAGAATCACAGACTTCGTTGATTCTTGCTATGATTTGCACACACAAACAGCGTACGATACTTCACCCAAAAAAAAAAAAAGCATACGATGATGTCATTTGATTCATGAATTGCTTGATATTGATTATCGTGATTTCAATATTCATGACCAAAATAAATCCCATCTCTGATTACATATGAATATCACTTGGCATGAGGAGCTTATGCACTCAGCAAGATTGTCATCGCAAATTATGAAAATTTTATTTTATTTGCTAAGAAGCATGTGTCATTATAAGGCATGAACTAATCCAAAAAGCTTTGGCGCAAATGGCACCACAGCTAGAAACAAGCGCGTGAGAGATCTGACATTCTTAGGTTCAATCTTGAACCCACCCTTTTACCACTTCCAATCTTAAGGCCTTGCACCCACTTCGTAGCTGAAGGAACTAAAATAAGATAAAATAGAATGCATGAGCTGAGCATACCAAAAGTGGATTTATTGGGACCCATTCTTCCTTAGGAAGCCACCGTTGCAGCGCCTCTCTTGTTTCTTCAGGCGTCAACGTTTTCTGGCAAAGAAGTGGATTAGTAAAAGCAAGCCACATGAAGAGTTAATCTCTTCATGCTGACCAACACAGATTTTTATATCAAACGAAGTCCGGACATAGTGATACATCATTTAGATGCACTCCCTTAGTTCTTTTAATAAGACAAAATTTTGAAGATTCTTGAATTCCTACTTATAAGACATTTTACAAAATCTTAGGAGTAATTAATATTTTTTTCCCTATAATGCCCCTAAAAATGATTACAAAGACTCGTCCAACCTACTAAATAAATGAGCGGTATTTCCCATGGATAGAAAATTGGACATGGAGTAAGGAACATTAATTAAGGATATAAGCTCAAACAAAAGGAGTAATATGATTTTATCTCATAAAAAGCAACAGGAGTAATATGATTTAATAATAATCATTCCATGCTCTAAATACATATATTGATTGTACAGAATATGCATCTATGATAATCACAGATAATTATTTCAGTTTCTTCTTCAAAGCTTGTAACAACAAACACAGCTCTCATAATAGCAGCATCACCTAGAAGTTGGAGACGACATGAATAAAGTGATCATACCAGATAATACAGAAAACTTATTATTTGGAATTAGCTCAAACGCCATTTTTTTGCCCATAACTCAAACAACATATGTTAATTCCCCAGAGCCCGTAAATTGGAAAAAGTTGATTGGTACCACAAAAGCAATTCCACCAAATTTGAATGAACCTGTTTTGTGCCTGATCTTGAAGCCCATCCAAGTCGATTGCAAATGCGGTGGACATGAGTGTCTACACATATCCCTTGAACATCGTTCCACCCAACATTCATAACCTGTAGTGCCAATCATACAATGAACTTCAAAAAGCCAAGGCAAAATGCTGCTCAAAAACGAAAAGTAATAAGCCATACCAAATGAGCCATCTTAGGACCTATGCCAGGAAGTGAGAGCAGTTCTTCAATTGAGCTAGGTATGTCCCCATCATACTTTGTGAGACAAATATTTGCAATTTTTTTCAAGTTAGTGGTTTTTCTTGTATAGAATCCAACCTGAATAAAAAGGTTAAACACCCCCCCCCCAAAAAAAAAAGCACAAGATTAATAGATGCAGTGCAAAATAGGCAATAACAACAGAAGAAGCCCTCATCAGAACATCATAATTATGGAATACTCAAAGCTTTGCAGCAATGTCTTTTAAAAAAACAACCAAAGAACATACTGGGTAAATGAGCTTTCTAATGGTTTCTTCATCAGCTTGATTGAGCCCATCAGCCGAAAGCAAACCATTTTGAAGAAGACGTTGTATTGCTCCTGCTCTTGAAAAAACATACATGTAACTAGAAGTGTTTCACAAGCAAGTTGAAAGGTGGCATACTTTTGAATCAAACCAAGTATTAATCACATACATGAAGACAGACAGAAAACAAAACTTGGAAGGCCAAAAGTACAAGTGTAGAGCAAATATGGTTCCACTAGCAATTACCAGTCAACACATTTATCTTCAAAGATCAGTCAGCTAAAACATGAAATATGGTAACTATCATATTTTTATTACACTTCCTCCCCTCATCATTCAATTTTCCTTTCTGGCAATAAGAGGTAAATTAGAAGTGATTTGGAGGCTAAGATGGGAGATCAAATATTCATATCATACCATAAGTGACAAAGTTCATATATTTGGGATCAATTATACAAAATGACTGTGAAATCAATAGGGATGTTACCCATAAAATACAAGCTAAGTGGTTCAAATGGAGCAGGGCTACATGAGCTATTTGTAATCAGAAAGTACCTAATAAGCTTAAAGAAAAATTTCATAGTACTAGTATAAGACTAGCAATGTTGTATGATAGTGAATGTTGGATTTGAAAGAAACAACAAAAGCATAAAATTAAATAGCAGAGATGGATATGTCGAGATGAACATATAGTCATGCAAAAAAAAAAAGAAGAAGAAGAAGATAAGATTCGCAATGACATATATAAGGAAGAGTTGACATGGCATCTGTTAAAAAGAAAATGATAGAAAATCATTTAAAGTGGTTTGGCTATGTACAAATAAGGTTGTTAGGGTAACGGTGAGAAAGGCAGATTAGATAATTTGAAGTGCTATGAAAAAGTAAATATAAAAAATGAAAAGAACACTTAATAAACTTAACAGGACCTTTTGGTTGACAATATATACAAAAATTTGATTGTTGAAAGATGGTGCTGTGCAATTCATATTGCCAATCTTACCTAGTTGGACAAGGCTTCTTCTTCTTGTTGTCATCACCTTGTATTAATCTGCTAATAGACTTCTATATTTATCTTATACTTCAGCATGCGTGAGTAGGTGGAATACAAATTTAAAAGGTCTAAACAATCCCTCATTTCAAGCACAGATTAGCCACAATCTAATATCCTTACCATGCACACGTCTCCATAACTGCTCATCTCACATAGATATCAATGTCATTCAGTTTCTCTTCGTGCAATTTTAATATCAGACAAAATTTTTGCTCCATTCAGATAATTAAGAATTCTTCTATCACATGCTGATGCAGCTAATCCAGTAATCCTATACTTTCAACAAGACATGTCAGTTCTATCTCGGTTTATGAACAGAAAGACACCAGTGGCTCTTAGAATACATCAACACATACAACTACTAAAAGTTAGAGTACATAGACAAACAAAATATTTGACTATATACTTCAACAAGAGATGTACTTACCATGAGTAACATGATCCTTGGTTTGGCTTGACAAAAGAGAAGATACCAGGACAGCAAATCTCCTCTCCTAATTGTACATATATAGAAATTTAGATAAGAATAAATCTGTCCATATCATGAATTGTAAAATATACAGAACTTTACTATAATTGAAATATTCATTCATCAAGAATGTCATCTAATGATAAATTTACTAAACGAAATGCCCATTACAAGTGAAAGCTGAAACTAGGAAGCTTCAATAGCAATGCATACAATCCTACTGTATGAAGAATGTAAGCGAAGGACTATAACACATGACAGCAATAAAAGTCTAAGTCAGTGTGACCATTTCTATCTGTTCATTCAACGAACATACAGACAATCACTCTCGAGAGAAGGTTCCAATGCCAAAAACTAAAAGATGAGTTTTTATTTCTTGTTTCCCACATATTTTATAAAAAGCAGGATAAAGAGTTAGACCTTAGGAGAAAGAGTTTCGCCAGCTTTCTCACATCCCATGGTGTCTACTGGAGCATCTGCAGAACATCTCATTTTGCGAATCCCTTCCAGCACCAATTTCCAGTTGGTAGGTGATCCACCTGCATCATATTTTAATGCATAGTTCAAACTTTCTCAGCTAGGGTCACCAGAACATAACAGCAAGGAAAATTTTGTCAATTCCATAAATATATGATAAAATTGCAGAAAATCAGACATATGTTCCTTTTTTTAATTCATCAGAGAAATTTGAAGCAATCTTACTAGGAGGTTCCTTTCCTCCTCTATATGCAAATTCTTCGATTTCAGGTAAACCAAACTCCTGCTCAGGTAAAAAGTTTACAATTTACACCATCAGAGACTAGTCTTGGTAGATGAAAGTTAAAAGAATTAAGGCGAACATGGAGACAAAAGCACAGAAGTGAGACTGCTGAGGGTCCGTAATTTGATACATAAATTCTCGCATTAACGTGGAAATAATAATGCAATGTTCATATAGAAAACAGGCATTAATTAGTTTATGCGGCGAAAAGTAATAAGTACTCACTTCCTGGTTCTGAGTAATGGCCACATGGTCCTTTTCTTGAACTTCCACAGCCCTTTTGGTTCTCTTTCTCCTGGAAAAGACACGAACTTCGGACACTGAAGCCACCTTCGAGGACTCGGAAGCTTCAAAAGCAAAAGAAGAGAAGAAACGAGTGAGCTTTTGAAAATCAAGGTGAAAAGGCAACGTGTAAAGAATTTTGAATACTTTGGGACGGCGGGGGAATGGGATGATTGCTTTTGGAAGGAAGCGCTTTGGAAAAGCATCTGGCAGAGGCAGACATGGTAATGAATTTGATTCGTCCAATAATAAGTGAAGAATCACGCACAGCTCCGAGCGAAATCGCCAACAGGCAGGAGCTGTAGCTTGGGCATCGGAATCCAAGCATCTTAAGCCTAACACACAGGTTCATTTAATTTCAATATAATCCCTCCATCGTACAGGACATTTTAAAAATTTTATAGTTTTAATTTATAAATTTGTCATATCGTTAGTATTTGAATTGAATGAAATTTACCCCAAAAAAATACTCCATCCTTGATTATTAGAAAAAATTATTCGTTAGTTGATATTTTAAGTTCTTCTCAAATGAATAAGGCCACCACCCTTTTAATAATCTAATGTCAATAACTAATTACATGCTAGTAATTTTGATATAATGATACAACTTTGAGTATTTTATATACTATGAATTAAAATATAGAAAGAAAAAAAAAAGCATCGGCAGTGAATGGAGGCAGGGTATCACTATTTTTGCCAGCTAGGCAGGGGATCACGAGCCTTGCATTTTTAATTTTTTGACCAGCAACGAGCCTTGTATTTGTAAAATAGTGGTTCACTTGACTGGTTTCCCTCAATCATTTCAACCCCCCGGGCTCTAGGAAGCGGTGAGCTAGAGTTCTTACTTCTTGAAGTTCTTACTTTCGTTTCAAGTTTTCTGTTTCGTCGGCTTTTCTTTTTCGTGGGCTCTTTAATTTGGATACTTTTGGGGTTTTCGAGTTTACTTTATGATCCTTGACTACATGTCATTTTGCTTCTGGATTTTCTTGGTTTTTGTGTTTACACACTTCTGATCAAGCAAGATTCTTTCTCCTCTCCGTCAGTGTAGTTCCTTTCTCGTCAAACAAGTTGGTTTATTATTGCGGCAAGCAAATATTGCGAAGCAGAGCCTTGTCTCTGTTTTGGAATACCTCATTGTCAAATTGTCGTGGAAAGCAGACAATGTTCAGGAATGTAGAAACGATCCTAACATTCATGATTGATGGAAAGTTAGGTTTAGGGGGTTAGTTTAAAATAATGAATTGGCTTTCATTTAATCGTGATGGCTGTTCCTATTAACTTTGGAAACGCTGTTCCTTAAGTTCTTATTTAGTCAGCCCAAAGGTTAAAGGTTCCGTATGGTCATCATGACAGCTTTTCGTTTTCTTTTTAAATTAGACATTTTCTTGAAAGACAATGCAAATTTGATGTCCAGACATAGGTGCTAACGTGGTTAGATACAACCTCATTCTATTCACGGAACTTCAACTTCCTTTTTAGTTATGCCGGGTCTGATGAAACTACCGTTCAAATCGAAGGCTCTTTAGCAGGTTAGAAATGATAAATTAATAATAATGAAAATTTTAGGCCTTTTTCTAATAGCTTCTGTTTAATGAGCTGGGCTGAAGTATATAAGATATGTCTACTTCCCATTTTTATTTCTTCAGCCATAATTTACTTCCCACTTAAAGTGCGTGAGAAATGTTCATAATTTTCATCCCCCCTTATATACAAAGAGAATAATGTTATTTGAGATTATTTCAATTATTAATTACTTATGTGACTAGTAAGATAATTTATGACTTGTGTTTTGCTACTTTTCTTAACTCTTGGGGTTCAATATACCATCGGTCTATCAGTATCCCATGCATTATACATATAAGCCATGTTTTATCGTTCCAGTTATTTTTCATCTGCTATTGAATCTTTACTGTTAATATGTTTTACAATTCGCAGTTTGAAAATAAGCATTCCGGTTAGCATTATGTATCATACTCCTATGATTTTCCTTTTGTTTGCACAAGCGTATGCGATGATCTTCAATCTTTAATTTTGCTATTTTTCTTCGCACATGACAACTACAGAGTGAGTGAACCTAAAAGTCACTGGATACGACATGGCTTCATCAAACGTGTGCCCAACTGACGATGCAATTCAAGCATTCCTAGAATACTTGGTTTACCCAATGCTGCCTGCAAAATCATCTGTTCGGGATAATCCCACATCATCCCAACAGCAGTCAGTTGCAAACCAGGTGTCTTTTTTCAACTTATTATTTTTGGTGCCTTTTATATTTTTCTTTTGTATTTTCCACCATGTGGAGATTGCTAGAGATGGCTTTAATGTTTATACAACTTATTAATTATTAATCAACTGATAGAACTATCTCTCAGAATGAGGTCACATTTTTACCTAATATCTATAGCTGACAACCAAGGGGAGAACCTGATTTAGTAAAGGCCGCAGCCACTGGTCATTGGGAATATGCCAGGGCCTATACTTAAAAGAGCAAATTTTGAGGGATATATTATGAAGGTTCGGTGCAACCAAGGAATAGGTAGTGGTTGGTGTCTGTTTGTGTTTTTTGCTGTAGAGATCCCCAGAGTTTTTTTTTTTTTTTTCCCCGAGGGGGGATTTGTTTTGGACGAAGAATAAACTAAGAGTTCTGGCCTCTCTAATGCCAATCTACAGCTTTTCAATTTTGTTTCTGGTTTCTTTTTATTTACTGGGTGTAATCTATTCCAGTTTTTTTTTTTTTTTGTGTGTATTTTTGGCCGGGGGCGGGCTGGCCGACAGTGGTCACTAATGGTAGGAAGGTTAAAACGTGTATATTTCTTGAAAAATCAAACCCAAGTTCCAATTCTTAGCCATGCTGTAGGGAAGCTGGGTGTTAGAAGATTTTCCCAGGTTCCCAACATTAATGAATCCCTTTTTTGTAGCTACGGTTTCGCCACTTTATGGTTTCTGTTTTTGATAGGATCTACTGTTTGGTTTCTAGTTACATTATTTCTTTGTTTTTCCTGCTTGGAACATAGAATGACGTATTGCCATTCCCTATTGACTTGAGATGGCTTAATTATTCTTTTTTGAGACACTGGTTTGTTGGTTTTTTATTTTTCTTGTCTTCTTTTCACTTGTTAAAGAATGGATGATCACTGGACAGATATGTGGATGCTTGGACATGTTATGGAGATTAACTTATAATTTGCTCATCTTCTCTTGTTGACTATGATTTCTGGTTCCAGGTGCATTCTGTTGTGTTGCTGTATAATTACTACTACAGAAGACAGCACCCAGAGCTAAAATTTTTACCTTTTGATGAATTTTGCAAATTGGCTGTTGTTCTGAAGCCAACTTTGTTAGCATATATGAATTTCATGCAACAATGTGGTGAAACTGAACTCAATGACGTGGAGAAACAACTTTCTGTAGTAGAGAAAATGATCATGGATGCATGTGATATATGTATGTGTTTGGATGCGGCAAAAACTGTTCCTAATATAGAGGGATGGCCCATTGCAAAAGTTACAGTCCTTTTAATAGACTGTAAGAAGGAGAAATGCTTTTTGCTTTATAATTCCATCACTAAGGGAGTTTGGTCCGTGATTGAAAAAGATGTTGACTTTTCCAGCCAAAGTTATGAAGATACGAAGGGAGCAAAATATACATTAAAAAAGAAAAGAGTTATTAGAAAGAATACAAAAGACAAATTGAATGTCGATGAAGCTGGACTTTTGCAAATTGGCTATTCTGCTGTCAAGGAAGCTGTAGGTAATAATCCATCCTCTACAAAAAGATTGGTGTTCTTGTTGTTTGCATTTGTTGAAGAGTTTAGTTTAATTTTGATGTTTTTAAAGTGGAATCACATATCAAAGGACATTGTTGCTAGAAGAATTTATTTGCTTCCAATTTATTTAACCAAGTGAAAAATGAACTTCTTCCATAAAATGACAAAGTAATCCTTAGATCATTTTGCATACCTGCTGCTTTCCTTTCCTTTCTATTTTGAGGCTCTTAATGTGTCATATTGGTATTTGTTGGTTAATATATCACTATTATGTTAATTTTAGTTTATTAATTGCTTGCTGATATGTAAATAGTTAATTTTTATTCTGTGGTTGCACTGGTGCAGGTATTGACCAGACAAATGTTATGCTCTTGGAAAGCCACACTCTGTACTCTCACAGCAAAGAGAAGACAGCTTCCTTCTTCTTGATCATGCAGTGCTCCCATTTGATCAATCAGGAGGTTATTCAGGTTCCTATCAAAGATGTAATTGATAGGTTTGTTTTAATTGTTATTCCTTTTTAACTTTCCCAGTTGACTGATAATTCTTGTTTCATGGCTGATTGGCATTGCTATAACTTATGATATAGTTAAGCTTTGATAGTTGTTTGTAGTTTTCACGGCTGCTTGTTGGGTAGAGTCAAGAGTGTATGTTGCAGTTTCATCATATGGGCGTGTTCTTTTCTTGTTCTTATTCTTAGAATTGCATCATAGGAGATCACATAAATGGTCTCTGCACCTGCTTATTTTTCTTGAAATACATACTTGTGTTTGGCTTTTTAATGCTTAAGGAACTAAACCTACTCATGATATTGCATATTCTTTTAAATAACATTTTGTCTTCTCTGATAGCTTGCAGGGCCCTTTGATCACGAAGAGTACTAGCAGTTGGACGGTCACCCCAGCTGTAGAGCACTTCCATTTGCTTCCTTATTCTAAAATAATCTTAGAGTGGCTTTCTAGGTGGGCCTTATCCTTCTTATTTTTGAAAAGTAGATTTAGAATGTTGTTTGATTTTAAATGCTTCATCAATTATACTTGTGTTCATATGTTCAGCTGCCTTGGTCAAAATTTCTAATTCCATGAATTAGTGGAGGCTAAGTTACCAGCATGTTTAAAAACTAAGTTCAGTGGCACCTTTGAAATGAATCTGTTGCTTTCCCCAATAGCTACTGATCATTTTTGGGGTGCTTTTCTAATACGGATCAACTTAATTGCTTTAACAAATCGCATGGTTTTTAGATATTGGATCCAGGCACATATACTTCACTATAGCTGGCTCACAATAACATAATCTTCCTCTGTCATCCTTTGACCAACTATTATTTTGATAGCGACTCACTCCATAGGATGAGATCGATTGTATGTGTAATATATTCTATCTTTGCAGAGGAACATTCTCGAATGGTTTGCAAGATTCAAGGACGACAGAGAAGATTATGATGGGGGGCAGTCCTAGAATGACAGAATCTTGTGCAATTGAGGATATGTCTATTGGTCTTGATAACAGGCCAAGCAGAAACAATACTGAATTGCTGAAACAGGAAGAAAATAATCAAGACTGTGAAGACTGTGAAGGCATACCCTCTTATTGTAATAGGGAGCTCCAAAGCATGGATGTCGAAAATTGTTCGCTTGTTCCATTTCAAGAGAAAGAAAAATGTCAGTATTTTGCCGATATCGTACAGACTCAAGAAACAAAAAATTCATCTGTGCAAAATTATCCATTGGGCTATACCAGTGCTCCCAAGGCAAGAAATTTACCTGTGTAACTAGTTCATTAGTTAGTTGCTAGTGTTAGCAGTGCTGGGCCTTTCTTTTCTTGCTTCTCTGATTGTACGATTTGAGTCTTTCTGATTTTTATATTGAATTACAGCAAGAAAAGAATTCGGTAAGACATGGCCTTTCTCTTAGTAGTTGATGCTTGTAGTCATACCTTCATTTGTGTTTGGGTTCAAGGATATCTTTAGGGTATGCAAAATTTTAGAAGCTTAGGCTGTTGGAAGTTTCAAATAGAAAGATTGCAAGATAAGAGGAACTCAAGAGACTTAATCTTAGTGATCAGGTTCGAGAATCCAAGAGTTAGATATGCAAGAGACGGCTGTAAACGAGGAACAACTAATAATGAAATCTTTAACTGTAAAATGTGAAGGTTTAAGTTCCAATGAGTCCTGCTATCATCAACTGGCTGAAACTCATGCATGATTGTGTGGTATATTTATAAAGTCATTCTGTGACCTGAGTAGATTCAGTTTATATCAATTAAATTAAGATTATTTTGTCTTAATCTGTATAAGAAGTTCTAGCTGATATTTTATATTCACTAAATATAACAAATAAATTCCCTAACATCATTTTCATTCAAGGCCCATTCAATACGGCAGGTGTGTGTTGGTATTTTGTGATTTTTTATTTTAGAGTATGTCTTGTATTCCCCTGTTTTAAAGGCTTTTTCATGTCTCTAGAGGTAAATGATATAATAGAAATATGTAGAATTCTAATTGTACAAGCCTTACATATTTCAACACCTGAATTTTGTAAATTAATTTAAAAAAACATAGAATGAAGAAGCCCAAGTTGAGTCCTGTATGTTTGAATTTTCTGCCTCTTTTTGTAGTGCAATCACAATAGTTTGCTGAGTTTTATCCTGGTGTTTCTTGTCTTTCATCTGATTGCATGCCATTGGTTTGGCAGGTTGTGACGACTATGACACATATCACTGAAGAGGAAACCAACGGTCTTGCCACATGTAACAAGATTTTCATCAACACTTCATCAATAGAAGACACGAAGGATCGGTGTGCTCTGGTTACAAGTCAGTCCAATACTAACAATTTTGATCACGAGAAGTTCCAAAAATTTTTAGCTTTGAAGGGAGAGATACTGTCACAAACTTCCCTTAAAGTTCTTACTCGGAGGAGGAATGAGCTGGTAATGGCTTATGAATGACTAAAATTTCTTTGAATCTGCACATAAAAATGAAATAAATAATGTTTTTATCATCGTCTATCTATTAAACTGACTTCCTACTGTAACTTTTGTATCTAACTATAATGATGCCGCACAGTTCACAACCTTGTCGATTATATTAGTCACTTGTATTTAGACCTTCAAAAAAGTTTGCTACAAATACATTCATAATCATTACCCTTATTTTTTTCCGTCAAGTTAATTCTAAAAGTTTGCATACTTCTACCATTTGAATGCTTAAAAGGCCTTTACTGACGTCATTGCTATTTTATTATGTGCAGGCCCTCCAGCAACGAAAGATAGAAGATGAGATTGCTCTGTGCAATAAAAAAATTGAGACAATATTAACTGGTATGTTTTTATTTAACTATTGATTGCAATGCTTGCTCATATTTTTGTGCTGGTTCATTATTTAATCACTATGGTTTCTTCCCAAGTTTAGCTTTTTAGTGTTTCTAGAATTCATCTTCACCTTTCATTCTTAATTTTTTCAAGTGAAAGTCTTTCACTTTTAGTTTATCAAGCGTAATATCAAAAAAGCCCTCCTGCAGATCTGACATTGGTTCAGAACTTAACTTATTTTCATTGATTTCATATGCAACCTATCATATGATTCTGTGGCATCTGCAAGGCCGCCGATGTTGATAACTTAGAATAGATTTTTTTCCTATATCACTCTGTGAGGGGAGGTGCTCATAAACTTAACCAACACCTTGGATGCAAGAAACAATTTATTGAAGAATAATGTATTCCTTTACAGTTGAAATCAGTTAAGTTTATACTTTTGTTTGGTCATACTCTTTAAGAACTATCTCAATTTCATCGATCAATGAATCTAAAGGTGCTTCAAGCATCCTTAATTTCCTGTTTGCTTCTCGTTTACCTTAGCAGTTCAGATGTAAGATTGCACTGGATCAGCTATAAGCTGTATTATCAATCCAGCAATTCTGTTGATGTTCTATTGTTATGAGGCAGATCCTGAGTCATTAATTACTTAGTCAAATTTATAGGTTTTCATCTTAAATCTTATCTCTGTTTTTGTGATAGATAGCGTCCATTCTGTTTGTGTTTTCTTGAGAAAGTAGGTGGGGAGGGTGCTTTGGAGTTAAAGATAGAATCCATCATAGAAGGCTGCAACAATGAGCATGGAATGACATCTCAAAATCTTGAGCACCATTGCTCTCCACCATGTATCAAGAGGAAAAGATTGTCAGAGGCTGTCCTCATTATGCAAAGTGCATGCCAGGCAAGACATGATGTGCTATTCATGTGCCAGTTCTTACATTTCATTTTCTTATGACGCTTGTGTGATGTAGGATGAGGGTAAAGTGGGAATGGGAGAAGGAGAAAGGAGGGACAAGTGGAAGAAATTGAGGGAAAAGTAAATGGCAAGTAATCTGAACTTTATTCAATTTGCCAACAGACCTAACAAGTGAAGAAACCCTAGGGATATTCAGAGTCCTAGGTGCAATTAACGCTAACTGATCCTATATAAGATAGGATAAGACAGAAAACAAATCCTGAGATAAGGTGAGATGAGATAAACTCTAATTAGATGTAAAAGGTAATCTAGATATCCTAATGAAATAATGTTGTTTAAAAATCCCGGATGCCTCATCTTAATATAAAGATTGAGTAACCTTGATCCCATTTCGCATGAGTGTGCAGCTGAAAACAAGTTATGGTTTATTCATTTCTGGATTTCCATATGTACCAGCTTAATACAGGTACTAGGGTACAACCAACACATGAAGATTCAACTTTGTAATGACATCATACCGCCAGACATCTAGCCTGGGAAACCCAGCTTCATTAATTTTGAAAGAAAAGTAACTTGCATGCCAGACCTATTTGACCATAACGACTCTTCGCTGAATGATATGCCCTCTTAACACCAAACTGGCCATTATAAGTACCTGTCCAAGCCATCCTATCCCTAGTTGCAAAACTATTAGGAACAATCATAGGGTAAATTGCTTTCTTTTCCTTTTCTGACAGCCAATTTTCAATTGCAAAAGGATCCCACCTTCCATCTATGGTGCACTCAGCTACTTTCATCCCTTTAAAAGCCTTGTTTGCTTAAGGTTTAATTACTTAGTGTGAACACTATATTGTGTCCAGATAGTTCAAATAAAGATTAAAAAAAAAAAATCAAGAATATAAATATATTTCTTTTTACGATTTTGTATTGAAAAAATAATAAAAGCAAAAGGAATGATAAAATAAGTCAAATCTCTGCGAGGATTATCCTTTAGACATTGGGAAATAAAAATATATATATTTGTAAGGTATTTACAAATATCTTGTCTAAGATCTTGAATAGCATAGTTAAATTAAAAAAAAAAATCAAATAGATCTGAGGACTATTTTCTAGATTGATAGTTTAAAATAAAAGATATATAAAGTGTAGAAGGTTTGTCTCTTAAATAAAAGCTTTTTTTTTTTAAGAAAAAGGGATTTAAATATTTTTTAGATTCAAGTCGTGTGAGATTTTTGAATCTTCACAGGCATATAGGTTGATTGTTTTCCGTGTGAGTTTCTTCGTAGGTGTACATCAATCCATAAATTATGGAGCAAAGGCATAAGCTATGGGTGTTTGACCTCATTAGGGCCCCCCCCCCCAAAAAAAAGGACAGAGAGAAAACATGATAATCGTTTTTAATTTTGACATGTGAATGTTCACAGTACATATATTTCCTCAGAAAAGAGTGGGGGCAGGGAGTATCAAAGTAGTACTGACTAATGTAGGCTGTCCCTGCCACCTTTTTCCTATATTTCCATACAAATACTTGGATTTATATTTCCGTACAAGTAATCAGAAATCTGCTTATCTTGCAGGAACTAGATGGTATATGTCACGAAAATAATTGGATCCTGCCAACTTATGGGGTATCAACGTTGGATGGTAAGACTGTTTAATTTAGATGCGGAATCAAGAAGTGGAGGCAAATGAGATTTACTCTAGGGAACTTCAATGCTGTTAGTGCACCATTACTAGCATAGCATTAACGATGCATTACTCTTTAATTAACATTCATGATACTCAAATTACTCATTTACATGTCTTGTAAGTCTGCATATATATTAGATATGTCTCTGTAAAAGGATTAGCATAACTAAGATCTATTGGTTTTACCCTTTGAAGGTGGTTTCGAAGCTAATGTAACTGTTAGAGGAACGGACTTTGAGTGTTCATGTGGGGGTAACCTGTGTCTAAATCCTCGTGAAGCAAGAGAATCGGCCGCTACTCAGATGTTGGCCGAGTTAAGAAGTATGGCGAAATCAACCCAAAACTAGTTTTGGTTGTCTCTGTTGGAATCATAGACATGGCATATTTGAGTCGTCTTTTGCGGGTGATCACAGCCTTTACGATGCTCTGAAATGGAACTGCCTCTGATGTCAGTGTGTAACTGGGACTTCTTGACAAAATCAACCAACATTAGTGTAATGGATCTGAGTTAATTGCTTTATCGGCACACTAAACGCTGATTAGACTACAAGGTAATGGAATCGACATCTGTTTATCCCTTCGTCAATTTTTATCTTCCCGAGCAAAAATTTATCTTATCTAGCTGGTTTTTTTGGTCAAAATATATTTGCCGACATTCCCTTTTTTTTTTTGGAGCAAAAAATATATTTGTGCATTTGTTAGCGAGTAAAGATGGTAAACTCTTGTAATGTAGTGAATCAAAATTTAAATTTTATTTGAAAGAATTACTTTTCATAGAATGACACGTATGCCTGGCTCCAAAACATAAAAAGCAAGCATGAAAACTTTTATAAAACCGAAAACGTCTTCTAAGAATGCTGAACATGCAATATAGTGGACATAACATCAACATGCAGCAGTATCGTAGCCATGTCCACTGGGTTCTGAGTAATTGAGCAATAGTTAGGTGCTTCATCTGATACCGCTTGTGTTTCCTGGAATGTGGAAATCAGGGGAAAATATTGGCAATGCTAAGAAATGTGATAGGTTGTACTGCCTCAAGGGATCCAAGAATTAAGGGAATCAAGTTATCTACGTGTTTTTGGAGTTGATTAATAAAAATTGTCTCCTTTCCCTCATCAAAATTATAATTTTTGCCAAATATATCAAACAGCATCATCCCGCACATAACCGCAACCCGTGACATTTGGGATCCATCTGCAAAACCATGAGGTGTAAGGTAATTCATTTATTGATAAATATACATTTATTAAATTATAAGATTTTACAAAATATACCTCACATTTGAAACAGGGGGAGTATATGCGCAAGAGAAAAATTAATTTTAGATGTATAGATCGTTACCAGTTGTATAGATAATTGTCACTAAAATCATGCACTTGCTGGGGAGAAAAATCTTGTCCCCATTCCCCACAACGGAAAAAGAAAAAAGACTAGCATATGCACTGGTGGGCACGAATGGTAAGAAAACGTCCAAAGAAAGAATTATGATGAACAGTTGAACACTTACAGGAAAGAATGAAAAAATTACTAACTGCTTGGGAGACGGAACAAATGACAGAATAAGCGATCTAAATAGTTACATGCACCTATATGATAAATAAAACTTATTAGCATCCGGCGGCTTTCAGGAACTTGTCATAGGGGCTTGACGGCGGTAGTCTCAAAGTATGCTGCTGTCCAGGGTCATACCGTGCAAACAGGCGAACCTTATCTCGCGCTTGACTTTGCTCCAGAGTGGCCAATGCCATATCTCCTTTTGAACATTCCAGAGTCTACACGACAGCGCAGATGCATCAAACCATAATCGTTTCAATGTTTTTAAGAATCAATATATTCTATGCGCGGCCCTGCCCTTGGGGCCTGACTGCTGTGAATCATGGATTCATGGTACAGCCTAAGGTGTAGTAAATAGCAAAATTCCCGGGAGATGTAAATAGATGGTATAATATATAAACTCCACGCGTACAAAACAGGCTCATAGCCTCTCCGAATATATGTCAAAAGGATAAAAAAAAACATCAAAGATCTTAAGAGGTTATGAATATTTATAGATAAATTAAAATTAAAATGGGTTAATACAATTTTTTATCCCTCAAGTTTATTCTCATTTTGGTTTTAATTCATCAAATCTCAAACTATAAGTTTTAGCCCCTCAAGTTTCTTTCCGTCGAAAACATTGGTGCTTATAATTTAATAAATACCTTGACTATTTTACTTCTTGAAGAATTAAAACCTATGGTTTGAAACTTGAGGGCTAAAACCTATAGTTTGAAATTTGAGGGATTAAAACCAAAATGAGAGTAAATTTGAGGGACCAAAAATTATATTAACCCTATAAAAAATCATAAAATTTTCTCATTGACTCTGGACCCGGATAACATAGTATGCAGGCGACACTGGGAGCGTATACAAGGATAAATTTTCCTACCATGTTATGAGTCATATGAGAAAGGAACATATGCTGAGTTTCAGTCTATGAGAAACTCAATTTTTTTCCCCTCTCTCTATCCTTTCAGTGACAAGTTGATCACCGATATGTCGACAACAGTTTCAAAAGCAATGTGAATTAATAAACTAGGATAGCAAACAATTATGCCTTGTTTTTTTGGCCAAAAGTCAAACAGCTATATCAAGCACAGATTTTGAAATGAAAACGAGTTTCTGTTCAAATATTCATAAGCCCCACTCCCAATTAAGTCCCGCAGTTCAAATATCAAGATTTTCTATGGTTCTTTATTCTTTCTACAATCTAAACTAAATCCAAATTGTTCGTGGAATTTCACAACCAGGTGGCACCATTGACAAGTCCGAGGGCTCAACAAAAATTGTACTTCATGAAAAGGGAGTTCGCTAAACCATCCCCCATCCCCCCAACACCCCCCCCCCCCGGGTTTTTAAAAAAAAAAAATAGTGCCGCTGAAAGCAACAATAATTGTCATGCATAACAGAACACTTTAAATACTCAGTTGACTATTAAACCAATTAAATGCCAAATAGATCCTTGGAAAAAATAAATTCCTTCGTAATAACTATTTCTCTTTTAAATAAACTTCAAAAGTTATGATAAGAAAGTGATCACCTTAGTTGGTAAGGAGGGAAATTGTGTTTCATTTTCACTTGAAGGAACCATTGCCTTAGCTTCTTGGTGCTTGAAACTGTGAAGAATTGACATCTTCTGCTGTTTCCCTGTCACAAGCGCCTCGCACTGGTTCTTCATTTGGTCATAAGGCACAATAGCTGATGACATGGGGAAACTAGCAACTTGACGGGCAGTCTCCAGAACCTATACATAGAAAAATCCCATAGGACATCTAAAAGGATGACACATAGTCTCCAGCCAAAGCATCATAAATTGATTCAAAACACAATATCATGGAACCTAGCAAATTCTAAAATTAAAGATCAGCATTACCGATTCTAAGAGTTGATTAACACTTAGAACGTCAGGGTTATTGAAAGAAAGTGATGTTTTGCGATCTGACTGGCTTCTGCTTGGTTCGGGCTCCATCTCTTCATCCATCAAAACCACTGGAGCCATGATCTGGAAAACAACCAATCACCGAACTAATCAGACAGAAAATCTTTTCAGAAGGCACTTTAATGGAAATGCAATTTCAAGATTTTACCTCTTCTAAGTCTGAGAACTCAATTTGAGCTAGCGGAGAACATGGGCGTGGTGTCTCCATAAACAAAGGAGGTCCTGATGGATATGCATCATCGGGTGAAAAGCCCTGTAGAATTTGCTTCTTTATGCCGGACAACTCATCCTGACCAACAAGGAAAAGATTGGCATAACGGATCATTTCCAAGAAAAAAATGTGTATGCACTTGTCACTTGAACACATTGGCAAAATATTTTTATTTTTATTGTAAATTCATCATACAGTACATCAGTAGAATATTAATTAAAAAAAAAAAAGTGTACTAAGAGCAACCATTTAACTGCCTCGTGTATTAAACACTTGCTCAGAAATTTAATTCGTTCTATCATAAAATTCTAATATATATAGCTTCAAAAGTCCAATGGTGTAACAATTATCATATCATTCTAGTAACAATTATCTAGGGGGGTGTATTGTTTATCTATCCCAATGAGCCATTTATCGAATCGTTGCAATTGATGTTCGATCCCGAAGAGAGGGGAGAGATCTTCGGAGAGTGGGTTTTTATGATCCGATAAAGAATCAAACCTATTTAAATATTCCTGTTATTCTATATTTCCTTGAAAAAGACGCACCATAACAGAGAACCCCCCCCCCCCCAAAAAAAAAAAAAGCCTCTTTCCTACATTTCTTTTGCCAATTGTACTCGCACAGGTAGAGCTTCCCCATATTTATATAATTGGCGATCTGCACCTAAAATAACATTACTGATTGCTCAAGGGATATAAGAATATTTTTTAGATAAACCAAGTCAGATTTATATAGTCTTTATTCTGCAATGAAATTTGCTACTCCATTATAAATGTAATAATGGCTCATGAAAGTCACCCTGGTGAGATGGTGCTCCCTTGCGCAGAACCTGTTATAGTGTCGTTCCAATCAGAAGGTCCATATATCGACTCATAATACAACCACGAGGAGGGTGACATTTTCATTTTTCAGTGAGTCAACTACCAATCCATCTTAAAGGGTTAAACTCATAGAAGGCCTATGAATGGTTTTATGGATATCTATAAGATATGGCCCCTTGCGCTAAACACCTTCAGATGGAAGCATGAATGAGAGCATTTCCCAACTATTTCTTGAGCTGAAACTGATGTATAAAGAATTGCGTGCAAATGATCAAGCTCCTGATCACTTAATCATTAAACATAAAAAAACACATGAAGAATTGATTCGTCTTAAATGCTAAACTACTAGAAGACGTCCCATTAATCACTATATTAATATCTCTAAAGAAGACCAAATTCAACAGTGTTATTCATAGGTGAGCAGAAAATTCATCATTGACATGCTTAACACCTCAACCTGTCCAATGCAAACCAGAAAGAAAATTGAAGATCAATTCACAGTATTCTTGTATGACTCCAGCAAAATTGCCAGCTGGGCGGAAACAAATGAGAGATAAAACCATTCATCTTACCTCTGACAATTTTGCAAATTTAGTCATGAAGTATGATATTACAGTCTCTTTTAACTGCCTGTCATCTGATTCTACAGCTGAAAGCGACCTCATAGCATTGAATTCATCTTCCTGAGATCCATAAGATATCTTCTCTGATTCTATACAAACAGCCTGTTGTTGGATGTCATCGACCAACTCAAGAAAAGGATCTACCTGCAAATTTATGAATCCAATTAACTAACCAAACCAAAATAAATAATGTGGACTGATTGAGAATCTCAATTTCACAAGGAAACTAAAAAACAAAGACACTGAATATGATTCAATTTATGAAATTGGGTGAAGAAACTTACAGTGTTGTCAGTCATGGATGCCTTAACAACTGGAATCAGATCAGGGAAATCGCCTGCCCTGGCAGAAAATATAAGCATGTACGACGCCAAAGTAAAAAGAGACCTCCTGCGTGATGGTTGTAAGCCTCCTTAAAGAAACATCCAGAGCAATTTATAAGAACACAAGCAAGGAATATATTTATACTAAGCGTGAAAAGAATGCAAGACTATCATCAAGTTTTAGCAGGGTGACAAACTGAGCACTCAGGATTTTCAGGTTAAATCAGAATATTTAAAGCTACAAACACACTCTCTCTCTCTCTTTTCTGATAGAACAAATAAGATACAGTTCATTTGTTATTGTCAGGGACCATGTTAATTCAATTACTTAAATTTATAAGCGAAGGGCTATGACTAATTTTTATTACAATCTCAAGCACTCTTCCTCAGACAATGGTTCTTTGGTCTTGAAGTATGAATAAGGCACCAGCACACCATGCATTGTGCTGAAACTTAATTTAATTAAAGGATCAAACTCCTGACTATTTGGTTATAGAAGCTCTAACATCGCATTGAGGACCATTTTGATTCACAAGTATAAGCTACTAAGTGAAGGCCTATGGGGAGCTTTTGTCATAATCTTGAACAGCTAAGGACTTCAGGAAACTAGATACCAAGAATTTGATGCTTAACATTAGAAAAAAGAGTTCAGCCTTAAAGGCAGCCATATATCATAATTCCAAGTCAATTTGATGGAAAAAGATAATAGAAAAAAGAAAGTGTAGCAAGACGACAAGAGGAAAGGACTAGAAGAAATTCAGTTATACGTTTAACTTACCATCTTGATCCAAAGAGATACTCCTCAGGGAGAATGCCAGTTGGAAACATCTTACTAAAGCCATGTGACTGGATGTCTGTGGAAAGCAATTCAATCATCACAAACTGGCAGAAACTAATCATGTCAAATTGTCTTTAGCTATCAAAGAAGGAAAAAGGATGATGATATGTGCTCTAGCTGTCCATTTCTGAGAGGTACAAAAGTTCCTTTAAAAAAAACTATATATTTAAATACAATGTCGGCACTCATTTCAAACCTAGTCAAAATACTCATTGGGAAATCTGTATACAAGAGAAACTTAGTTATAAACAACAAAGGTGAAATCTAGCGAAAGATAATAGACAGGCATTAGCTGTTGGGAATAATCCCATAAAGCAGTCCCAAAATCATCAGTCGTTGCAGCCAGAAATTCTAAACAATGAGACATGCTTCTATCTTCATCACACCAGACAAACATGCAAACATCATCAAATATTTCTCCATAACAAGTTTGAGAAGCCAGGGACAGCATCGGGAGCGAAGAAGCTCATAATGCAAAATCTTAAGCACAAATTACAGAACAAGTATCACACTTTCAACACTTTCGTAAGAAAAGGGCCATGGACGCTATCTAGAAACCCATATATGATTATGAGATAGCGTTATAAAGGATTCCTGTAATTGTCAACCTCGTGATTAAAAATTGTGTGATAAAAGTTGTTTATGAAAAAAAGAAGTATATTATTTTCCCTACTAATTATATAGAATAAAACCCATATATGATTATGAGATAGCATTATAAAGGATCCCTGTAATTTTCCACCTCGTGATTAACAAATTGTGTGATAAGTAATAACTTGTTTATGAAAAACAGAAGCATATTATTTTCCCTACCAACTGTATAGAATAAAACGTCATGGCCACAATTAATCTCACCTTAGAACGAGTAAACAACAAAGCAATGCTATAAGTGTGAGCCATTGCCTCAAAATTCTCAGGGCCATTTTCTGCAGAAGTTGCCTGTACCCAGATTGAAGAGAGCAGAAGACTCACTTGGTGACTACTCAATCGAAGAGAACTCAGCTCCTGAAAATTACAGATACACCACATTTTTTAAGCACAATAAATATCAGAATCTAATGACTCAAATCTTTGCTAATACAATTTTATAATGATGATTAGAAATTTCATACATCCTTTCCATCGGTGAGAGCACGCGTGAAGCTGTGAACACAAAATAGATTAGGAACATATTTCCCATTGACACCTGCTTTTGTCTTTCCCTCTGATGGTTCCCTCTTCACACTGACAGAATTTTGATCATGAATGGCAAAGCTTTCACTCTCTACCTTCTGAATCATCTTTGTTTTCTGGTCTAAACATGGAGAAAAAAGGGATGGCATAAGCACCATAGAGAAGACACTATGTGCCCCTATTCGTGTGTCATGGTCTGGATGGGCCATTGCCATAAGCAACTGATGAAATAAAGCATCTGGGAAAGCCTGGACATTTCGATAAAAAAACCTTAATGTTTAGACAGTTGTTTTACAAGTGTTTAGGATGTAGAAAAGCCAATTTTCAGTCCAAATAAAAAGTACTTGCCTTCTTGTGATATGATATGTTAGGGATAGAAGAGATTAATTTTGCAGTTTGATAAATAGCAGAGATTGTTGTTCGTGCTACAATAGTACTATTTGAGATATTCTCTAGCACCACTGCCATCATATCAAGAATGGGGCCTGCATCCCCAACCTGACATTTCAAAATTTCATAGTTAATCCAAAAAGAATGCGGCAACAAAATAATACTCTTTTTCCTCACACAAGCGATATTGTAAATCCATGGGAAGGAAAATTAAGTGGCTTCCTTTTCCATATTAAACCATTAAGATGATACAAGTATTATTCCAAATGACACTTAGAGGCTTTGGGGCTCGTTCAGAATAAGAGGTTCAAAATGTATTTGCCTAAACAGATCCTCTGCTCCTCATACAGCTGCTGCTCATTGCGATTCCCAAGTGCACATTGCCTCATCCAGCAATCACTGCCATGTTAAGGAAAACGGTTTTGTTTTTCCCATCATCGTCCAAAGGGAGTTTGTGGATAAGGTCAAATGGGCTTATATGTTAGTCTGTCTGCAACTGGCGGTAACTTATTCTCAATACGAGGAATTACATGGATGAAAAGCAGTTAAATATTAAAAAGCATGTATTCTTGAGAGGCATAATGAGAGGTACCAATCTGAGGAGAAAAAGGACCTGTGATCATATATTTGCATCTCCATGGTTCAGTTTCCAGTTTTTGGTAAGTTAGACTCATCAAACTAGATCTTATGAAGGAAATCAGATTAAGGAGGATCTCATAAAGTTCAGGATTTTAGTTTTTCCCTCAGTTGCCAACTTGCCCAGAAGGATGAAGCCACTCTCACATATAAAATCTTGAGAAGTAACCCTTCTTAGAATATGACTCCTCAAAAATCAAGACATCAAGGTATCCATATGAGAAGGAGGATCTTTTTTCATATATAATTTTTCTTTTTGACTTCCTCAGGGAGGGGTATTGGGGAGGCTCTTCTAGAAATTTGGGTAAGCAAACAGCTGGAAAAGACAAACAAAAAAGTGATTCGTACCTTGCTTGAAAGTTGTAATATACACGATTCTAAAGCAGACTGAAGTTCAATGTTCAATTTATGTTCATCACTTCCAGCAACAGAAGCTTCAGCTAAAGTTTGCAAGCACTTCCTCAACTGTTTAATGAGGTCAGATATCGCACCGACAATTGCAACTGAGGCCTGCTGCTCAACATGTTCTGCAAGTTGTGAGGCTATCTTAACAATATTAATCTGCAGAAGAGGTTGCTTTGCAATATTCCTATGATCCAAGTGCTTGATTAAAATGGACAGCAAAAGATGGGAGTTATCTCCTGGCAGTCAGAAAGTGACCAATTAATACAGAGAAATTTAGAGAAAACTTCAGTTCAAGAAAAAGTTAAGCACTGAATATTCCAAGTCTACCTGATTCTGCCAAAAGGGATTGCAGATACATTAAAACAGAACAAGCAGCTCCTTTTTCCGGAGACCATTGATTTTCAGTATCAAAATTATGAAAAAGTGGTTCAAGAACACGCCTCACAGTTGTAGCTTCCTTAGCCAATTTTGCCATATTACATAAGCAAACCTTTGACCAATAAGCAGGATCCTTGGCAGTATCCCTGTTGACATGGTAAACAGATAAAGGTTGTCCTGGAATCATGAAAAATGCTTACAAAACAGGGGGAGAGATGAGTAAGATAAGACTTACAACATGAAGTCCATCCCAGTTCCAGTAAGCCTCTCCACCTCGGGATGGTTGACTTTCATTTGGAGATGCATGTAATTCTCCAATGTCACAGATATAATCTGAGGGGATCCACCCACCCAAACAAGAAACAAAAGGGAAATCTAGATCAGTGAAAGCTACCTAATGCTCTGAAGAGTTAATTCTGAAGATTTAATGCATCTTGTTGGTGTACGTCACTTTCTTGTTTTAAGGCGATCACTGACCAGTCAAAGCATAAAAAAAAATACTCACTTTGTCAAAATCCATGGAAAGATGTGAGTACTCTCCCATGAATTGCACCTAGTCACAGAAAATAGAGGGAAATTAATAAACAGCCTTGTAAAGCATTTGATTTACAGATAATGTATAATGAATAAGGTAACCACTATAATCTAACCAGAATGAAATTTACATATGAAAATGAATAATTTGAAAAAAAAAAACTTTTCGTTCATCCCACAGATGCAATTTTCTAAGATTAAAACTTTATATTGTGTCAGTGCATATGTCAGTCATCCATGGCCACAGTTCTTGGTACAAGTATGGTATGATTAATTAGTCAAATGAAGGAGTCCAAAGTCTAATTCATTTACGAAATATATATATAAATTAACAAAGTAAAGGGAGTTGCAGATTCTTATCAAGAGGCTAAATATTCAGTATATTTTATCTCAATATGGTTTGTTATCAATAATTTCTAAAACTGCCAAGGACCATATCTTGAAGAACAATCCCCTCCACTCTTTAGTGTATCATCATGTTTCCAGTTATATTCTCATCCACAGAGAGTTTCGTTTAAAAAAAAAAAAAAAGGATATGTAGTTTCTAGTGTGTAATTAACCAAGAAAGGAAAGACTTCATACAATTAAACTTCAGAGAGTGAATGAGTAACTTCTAGAATAGTAAAAATCGAAGCAGAGAAAGTACAACACCATATAGGATAGAGCTTGAAGTCCAGCAGAACGTAGACGCAAAACTCGTTCATCTTCTCCGACTTCTTGAGCCAATTGGCATAGTTTAGGGATGAGACCCTCCAAATTGAACATGTATGTACTGTCTGTCTACTTTTAACTCAAAATGTCAGCATCAACAAAGTTATGACATCCAAACATTGTGAAAACATTTTTGGTCAAAAAAAAAAATTGTGAAAACATAGCACGTATTCCCCAGAAAACAGAGGGCAAGAATCAAGAAATAATGCAGCCAATAAATATATCATACTGCTTCAGCAACCCTCCGAGTTGTCCAAGTCTCAAGTTATTAGGCCTCTTAGTCAACATGAAAATGAACCCCACAGTAGTTCTTTATTTATAGACTCGAAATTAAGTGAGATGGGCCTAATGAAATACCTGGCAATTTATAAAGTCTACAAGTGCTTGGCAACCTAAAGTCCTCATTTCATCAGCTCGAGTTTGTTCTAAAAGTGTTCGAATGATCCCTAAAAAACTACTAGCAAATAAGGGCCTGCAAGATTAAACATCATGTGAATATCATCACATATTTAAAATAATAGGAAAAAAAATAGCAATCCATCAATACGATCAAATAAACAAGAATTTGAAAGGAGACCCAACTAGAAACATTATGTAAGAGATGCAAATCTGGAAGTCCCTACAGTATGTTGCATGTACAAGGAAAAGAGGCATAAATTAGATAATTCTAAATTCAAAAACATTCTGCAATTTTATGAAATGTTCTTCTGGTGATTCAATCTAAGAAGTTGAAAGATAAACTCCACGACCAGCCTTCCCCTTTGTTCCAGTAAACTTGCATAAGATAAAGTGAAAATGCAACACACGGACTATGCGGTTAAATTATCCAGCATCGAACTTACATCTGCTCCTTGCATGACGATAACAATTTCCTGTATATCCACAAGACAACTTTCACTGACCCAAAATTTTCATTACGCAGGTCCTTGTAACATCTTTGTTCCAGGTTTTCAGTGATCTGCATGGATAAAACGCTAAACATCTTAAATGAAAGCTAACAGGATTTCCTCCTCCAGCACATAATCAACTCATTATTGTTTAAAATAAGTTATGAAGGAGATATATTTTCACCAGTTTAGAAAATTAGTTAACTCTAAAAGATTCATAGAAAAACGTCTAAATTTTCTCCACCATTCATTATTTATCTTTGAATTATGTGAGGCAACTGTACGAGAACTAAGTGAAAGAGAAAAGAAAATTTAGAAAGTACAAATTCAAAACAGAAATAAAGACGTATGACAAAGAGATTTAATCGATGTAGAAAACAAAGGGACACTTATTCAGGTATTAAGCGGTATACTCATTGTCAAAATGATCAAGAGAGCTGACTGTTGGCTAGGACTACATAGCAAAAATAGATCTAAGAACATCTTCTTGGGGAAAGGGAAAAAACAACCTTTGGAATTCTCAGTGGATTTTTGGAGGCATATTCACATAGCTTTCCAATTTTCCTCTCATTAGGCCCAGCATCCTGCCATATCCAGTAACAGTCACCCACATAAGATTTTTGTTACGTTGGAAAAGCCAAAATACAAAAGGGGATCTAAAGCGTTCAAAGTATTATGTTCTGTAATCTTATCCAAGAAACTAGATATGTTCCTTGTGCAACACACATGATCGATAATAATTTAGAAGTTTTTAGAAGGTTATACTTGTGTCTTTAACATTTAGACCCCATTAAAATGTGTAGAAAAATATTTGGGGAAAAAAGAGTTGGACATAGCCCAATATGATGTGTGGATAAAAATTGAAAAGAAAAAAATTGCACAAAACTTAAGAGAGGTCTTATAATTTATGGTTCATGAATGGCATAGCTCTAGTAAACTTTTTGTGTTACTAGGATAGGCCTCATGCCTTTGCCTGGATTGGACCTCAAAACCACATTACTTAAAAAGAGATGGCAAGAAAACAAATAAAATGAGTGTACAGGTTGGTAAAATAAATGCAACTAAAAGTTAATCATTGGTCATTGATAGTAGAGAAGCATCGTTTTGACTAAATCGTCAATCTGCAGATGATATAAAAATGATTCCTCCAAAAGTGAAATAACATATCATGAGCAGAAAATTTCACCTGATTACGCGGGAAGATATCAGTAAGCAATTTCTTGTAACGCTTCACTGGCTGTCTTGAACTTGCCCTCAAAGAAGGACAAATGCAACAGAGGTTACCACAGACGGGCACAACCCGCCTGGACATAACCCCCATTTTCCCGTGAAACTACCAACCCTCCGCTGAAATTCAACAGAATTTAGTTAAATAAATCAGTAACTTCAAAATTAACATTCCAGCAATGAAAAGTTGAATTTACATTCCTTCCTCAGGATTTGGTCATCGTGGTCTTTCCAGAAATCAATTATGAGCAAGATTAAGACCCAATTAAATTCAGGCATAGCTGAGCTGTGCATACAGCATACATAGTTCCACAATGTCACAGGTAAATAAATTCCAAGAAGAAAACAAATTGACGGAGAATATTTTGGATAGAAACTGCATTTGACTGGGCCAATATTCAGGAAAAAGATATTCTCCACCTAATAAAAGCACAGAAACCATACTCTTTCGCAAACTGAAGCGTCTCAGATCGCGATCGGAACTGAAAGCCAGAACGGGAGAAAATAATTTAATCAAACACCGGAAAGACCAAATTCCAACCTGAAATAAC